CAGTCATCTACCCTTACAACTTCAGTCTTATCCCATCTCATTCACATTGTTTCTCCTATCTGTCCCTTCTCTTCACTCAGTTCAGGCCCTCATCATGTCTCACCTGGACTAATGCAACAGCTTCCTAATTGTCCCTCTCCATTTCAATCTATCCTCCACACATCTGCCAAAGTGATTTTCTTAAAGTTCAAGTCTGACCATGTCACTACCCACTCAATAAACTTTAGAAGTTCCCTATTACTTCTGAGGGTAACAGAGTAGTGCAGTGGATAGAATATAGGTGCTGGAGTCAGGGGGATCTGAGTTCAAATCTGACCTCAGACTCTCACTAGCTGCATGACCCTGGGCAAATCATTTAACCCTCTTTGCCTCAATTCCTCATCTGCAAAATGAGCTGGAGAAGGAAATGGCAAACCTCTCCAATATCTTTGCCAAGAAAGTCCCAAATAGAGTCAGACACAACTGAAAACAACTCAACAACAACAATTACCTACCTCTAAGATCAAATATAAACTCCTCTGCTTGGCAATTTAAACCAGATCTAGCCCTGCATCATGCACAGCACCTATTTGGTACACACAAATAGGTCTTACTGCTCTTCAAACATGGTACTCCATCTTCCATCTCAGAGCTTTTGCATTGGCTATACCCTATGCCTGTTTACTTCTTCATTCTGATCTTGCTACGAGGCTCTAGCTAAGCATCACCTTCTACCTGAAGCCCTTCCTGATCCTGCTCCCCCAGCTGCTAGTGCTTTCTTTCCCTTTATCACTTTTGTACATACCTATAGATGTACAAGATGTCTCCCCTTGGTAGATCATAAGTTTCTTGAAGACAGAGACTGTTTCATTTTTGTCTTCCCATCCCCAGCATCTAGCCTAGTGTCTGGCACATACAGTGGTAGGCCATCCTTCAGCAACCCTGTCTACCATTTAATCATAGCTATAATTCATATGGTTCTTTAAGGTTTGCAAAGTGCTTTATATGTGTTATCTCATTTCTTCCTCCCAGCAGTCCTGGGAGTTTGATGTTTTTATCATTCCAGTCATACAGATGAGGAAACTAAAGGTTAAATGACTTGCCCAAGGTGAGTGAGTTAGTCAATAATCATTTATTAAGCATTTGCTGTTTGCTAGACATTGTGCTAAGTGCTGGGGATACAGAGCAGAAAGAAAGATTGTCACATAGTTTATATAGCTAGTGAGTATCTGAGGCAGGATTTGAATTCAGGCCTCACTGACTCCAAATCCCATACTCTGTCACTTGAACCACATAGTGGCCCCAACTTCCACATTATAATCTGCCTTACAAGTTTCCAGGCCTTGAGCCAAAAAGACTTCTTACCCCAAAAATAATTCCACTCTAAGCCAATACAACAAATGTTTGTTGTTTGACCAGTTCCTGAAATGAGTTATCTTCTCCAGGGGAAGTATGTTATGTTTATTCCTGCCCTCTATTACCTTGCTTACACTGATTCCTCTGCCTGGAATGGCCTTCTCTTTTTCTCTTCCCTTTCCTGATACCCTAGCTTTGTTCTCACCTTTTACCCTGACCATAATTCCCCATCTCCTTCTTCCTCTCACCTCCTCTCTTATTGAGATCTTCTCCTTGCTTTTTTACTCCTTTTCTTGTTCTGTCTGGTAGTCCCTCTATCAATGAAATCACAGATTCAGAACCCTACCCTTTCCAAATTAGTGTTAAGCACTATAGTAGTGGCATAATAGTTATTCAATAAATATCTGGTGACAAAAAAGGCATTATGGAGTACTGGGTCTGGAGTCAGGAGACCTAAATATGACTTCCAATACTCATACTAGCTGTGTAAGGACAAACCATTTTACCACTCTACTCTTCATTTTTTTCATCAGTAAAATGAGGTAATGGAACTTACACTACTACCTTAGAGTATTGTTGTTGAGAAAATGCTTTGCAAACCTCAAAGTCCTATATAAATGTAAGTTAATATCCGTGATCAATATCATTTTGTTGATCACACTTAGAGACATCTTGAAAAGTTAGCATCACTATGTGAAGCACCCACTAGATGGCAGACAGATGCCAGGAGTGACCAACACCTCGGCTTAGGGTTGAGCTCCTATGTGTTCTACCACGGCCCTTTACTATTCTCTCCATCTGCTCTCTCCCTCCCTGGTGGCCCTGGTCCTTCACTTATTGGGTTCCAGTGGCTATAAGCCTACCCTGCCACCCTATGAGATATTCTAGATATGCAGTGCTTCAGTTCAACCCAGATAGGCCTGTAGGCCAGTGAAAGAATTAGGGACAAGGCTGAAAGTCTAGCTCTTCCTCCTCCTCCTCCCTCTGCTCCTTTCACCTCTGCATAATATTCCATCACCTCCATAATATCCTCCAAATCTCATTATGGATAAAGAAGTAAACAAACATATGTGGGGATAGGGTGGGGCCCTGACATCCTCTGGAGAAAATCTACCAAATTAAAATGCCTCAGTGACCTCCAAAGGAGGATTAGGTCCAGGAAAAGGTATATGTGAGAGCTCTGGGGTAATAAAGTCATGTTTCACCAGAAAGGTGCCCTTGAAGAGAGCTTGGGCAAGTAAGCACTGTGGTAGCAGCTGCAGAAAAGGCTGGAGGGAACTCTTCCTCCTGGGGCTGCTACATTCCATTTCTACTCCAGTCTGATTTGAGTAATTACTTTGCATGGCTTCCCAAGCCATAGGGTACACAGTTCCCCTGCAGCCTTAAACCTCTTCTCACTGATCCTCTCCTGCAATCCTAGATGCACCCAGGAACGAAAAGAAGTTTCTCGCATTTTTTTCTGAGTTTGGTTGTTGTCTGAAATCTGGTAAAGAGCAATCCAGTTCTAGAGAGCAGATTCTATATAGCAGTTCTGAATAGACCCTCTGGGAAGGGGTCTTCTCTGAAAAGGATTATAAGCATTCTCACTAAGTTTCTACAGCTAAATATCACTGGATGTGAGTTAAAATAAAGCTCAGTTAAGAGGTTAGGGCAGAATGCCAGAATGAGGACTAAGGGTCTCATTCTAAATCCCAACAAAGGTAAGGGTAAATATAGTGACTGCCCCATCCCACTTCAACTAGAAGGATGCATTCCAAAACCCTAAATTGACTCCAAAATCTAAAGCCCCATCAAAATCTCTATTACTATGTATGGCAAGAGAATTGATCTTCCAAAACAATTGGTGGTGATTAAGCAAATATCCCAAGAGGGCTCCCATCTCATCTCTTTGTCTCCCCTCTCCCTTCTCTGACCTTTCTTTCTTCCCTCCTTATTCTCCCTCCTTTTTCCCTCTTACCCTCCTTTCTACTTTCTACCTTCCCTTCCCTCTCTTCCCAGTCAACAGAGACAGGTTAATAGACACAGCCCTCTACTGCCAGAGTCCTTTCTTATTCACCAGTCTTTGCTGAGCTTTCCAATCTTGTAAATTTAAATTCTAGGTTGTTGTTTTCTTCCCACTGTATAGATAATGAAATACAGGCACTAAATGGGCAATCACTCAACAAACATTTATCAAGTGTGTACTATGTGTCAGACACTGTGCTAAATACTGGAATACAAAGAAAGGTAAGACGAATCCCCTCTTCCACCTCCCACCCTACGCACTTTCTTCTCAACATCATAGACTAGGGTGGTCATATCCTATACACAAAGAAGAAAGGAAAAAAATCTACTACCTTTTTTTCCTGTAGATTATTAACTACTCCCTCCAAAGGGATATTCCAGTATATTCATGGTGCCAAAAAGATAGGCATTTGGGGAATTCCTTTTATAAAGGAATTCCACCAGCAAGAGGTAGGGGTATCAACCCAAATGCCTTTGAACTCCCCCTAGGCTGTTCTCCATTTCCATCCTCCTACACCACATATACATACAGCCCTCCACTGTAATTTTTTCTCCTTTCCCTTCACACATCATTCTCATTTCCTTTCTTTTCAATAGCTGCTGCTGTACAACAGGGGTTCTTAACCTGGGGTCCATGGACTCCTAAAGTCCCAAGGATAGATTTCATGATGTCTCTGAACTTGGATGGGGAAAATATTACATCGATATTTTCCACTAACCTCTTAATGAAGTTTAGTATTTTCTTTAATTGTGACTAAAAAAATTATTCTGAAAGGGGGTCCACATGCTTCATTACATCATGTATTACATGATATATAACATATATCATATAGCACAATATACCAAGGGGTCCATGACACACACCAAAAAAAAACAACAAAAAAAAAATCCATACTCTAGGAAGACAGATGATAAGAAGCTGCAGTCAAGACAAATACCCTGCCTTTTCAGCAATGACAGCTCCCAGCAGTACTTCTCAGTAAAATAGATAATCTCTCCCCAGTCTGTACTCTAGGCAATAAATGGCAATAAGAAAGAGATAATGTGTAAATATTTTTTACCCTTATTTTGCTTCCTAATTCTTAGGGCTCCTTCCTTACCAAGCTTAGGGCATAGGCAACCAATTCCTTAGGACCCTCAGATACTTGAACCCTAAATGTGATTCCCTCCTCTTCACTCAAACTTAAATTATTTGCTGCTCTGGCCTGCTCCTACTCCCCTCATCCTTAAAGCTCCCAGACCAGGTGCCCTCCTATATCTGTCAAAATCCCCCTCTGAATTTAGCAAGCTGTTCTGCCCTTTCTGCACATTCCTGGGCAAATCAGCATTTCCACATCGTAGATTTTCCCTAAGTACTGATGTCTCCAAGCCAACAACACTTCTCTGCTAGCCCCCTAAATGTATGCTCTCCAGATTTGGGTTTGAGAAATCAGGCCTGCCTAGCTATGCTGCCCCACCAAATCTTAGATACAAATTTTATGGAGATGCCTCATTCATATTTTAAGAGCTCTGCTGGCCAGTGGGGAAATTGGTCTGAGATCCATTAAGAAGGTTTGTCCCACCACCCTGGAGGAAAGCTAACAAAGGGTTAATCCATTAGACAATATCCTGGTGAGCTCATCTTTGTTGGAGCTTGCTCAGTAAGTGGCCAGGAGTACCTACATACTGACTTCTTGTGAGGCTTCCCGGATCGTGGATATTGTCAGAAGATCCCTGGGAGAAGAGAAAGTAAGTTTCCTGTTTTTCATGTCTCCTGGGTTTTTGAGTTGTTAAAAAAAAAAAAAAGAGTGGCTCCTTCATTCCTTTCTCATCTTTCCTTTTTCCCTGGAAATATAGGGTGATTTTAACTTTCCTTTAGTTGAAAATGCTCTGTTCCTTGAAGCTGGAGGCCCATTAGCCCCAAGCTGGCCCCCAGAGGCAGGAGAGGCATGCAGAGGGAGTATAGAGAGCTGCACAAACCAAAGAACCTGCAGCATTAGGAGTGGCTGCTACCAGCCTGCCAGCTGCCAACAACAGAGGGTTTCCCAGTGGAATCCCTGGCAGAGAGTGAGATCAACCAGCCAGCTCCCTACTTTTGCCATGTAGCAGGGAGAAGGGCAGATGCTTGTGAAAAGGAATGTTCCATCATCTGCAATCCAGTAGCCAGTGTGGTTTTGGAGACTTCTTTCTAACTCCTGGAGGAGGTAGGAGTGTTAAGATCAGAAGGGAATGGCAATGGGGATGGGAATGGATGGGTCAGACCACAGTTGGAGGGGTAAAGGAACTCAGTTGGTGAAAAGTAGGTAACTGGACCTCAGGTGCTGGCTTCTGGGGTTGGCCCTGGTGCTGGGTTTCTGTGGATATCCTAGATTAGCTTTAATCCAGTTCTCAGTTGATCCCTCCAACTCCTTTCTGCTCAGGAAGCCACCCTAAAAGGCGTGGCAGACACCCTGTCAAGGCAACAGCAAAGCAAGGTATAGAGATCTGCCTTCACATTCTGGATGAGGAAAATAAGAAACTATCACAGGACAACAAGAACAGAGACAGAAGCTAGGTCCAGTGACTGAGTGCAAGTATCCCATATATGGGAAAATGGTTATCATGTTCTGCACAGTAAGGCATTATTACAGATCACAGAGCTTTTTCCATTGCATTTTGGGGCAACAGGCTGGGCCACAAAGGTATATGGAGTTTTAGGAAAGAGAGCAGTAACAGGTATCTTCAGGTTGGACTCTGGCTTCCAGAACCATCTTCCTAGTAATGCTCATGTCAGTAACAATAAGCTGGAGACAGGCTGCTTTGGAGACAGAAACTCACTGAGATAGGGCTTACACTCTACATTTTATCTGCTTATGTTCTGCTTTTCTTATCAAAAGAATGGTCTGCCACTGAGCTCTTTGTTTGGGGAATGGGAAGGACTGAAGGACTGAGTGTGAAGTGGGGGGGGGGGTTGGGGGTGGGAATAGATATTTCCTTGGAAAAGAGATTATTTAACTAAATCTGGTGGGGAAAAAAAAGAGTAGGAAAGTGTCATGGGGATTAGGGGTGGGGATAATGAGTAATTGGCCACCTCTTTGAAGTATAAAAAAACAGTAACAAGGAATTCTCTCTGAGGCTTAATTTAGTACTATTGTCCAATTTATCTGGGTTTTTTTTCCCCTCCTTTTCTTGTACTTGCTCTCCTTCTCTTCTACTTTCCCCTAGCCTGGCCTCCTCTCCTGGGAGCAATATCTTTCCTATCTCTTCTGCCTGGAAAAATGATCTGCTTTGAATTCTTGTAACTCCCTATAGCCCTATCAGAAATCAGAGGCCTAGCTGTATAGAGTTGGGGGTGATATATGGGAAAAAGGAAAGAAAGGGGCCTGAACAATTCCAATCCTAAGCACTACAGGTGTACCTTGCTTTAACGTGATCACACTTCAGAATGGCCTTTTTGGGATGTACATGAGGTAGCAAGGATGGATGATATGGATGATAAAGATGTATATGGGAGAGTGGAGGCTGGGATGATGATAAGAATGGGATAATAAGAATCTTGGCAAAGATATTCTTTTCACTATCCAGACCTCCGGCTTTGCCAAGTAGGCTGAGTAGTCCCTATCTTTATATTTTTCTTCTCCCAAATTTCTCTCATTCACTTCTTATTAAAAAGAATTCTAATACTGCCTGCAAGACCGAACCACTTAACCCGCCTAGGCCACAGTTTCTTTATCTGTAAAACAAGGTTAAAATAGATCATCTTTAAGGTCCCTTCCAGCTTTGAATCTGTGATCCTAACTCAAGCTGCTTTAGGAACACAGCATAATTAATCAAAACATTCTTTTCTGGTCAGGTCAAACAAAAGACAAAACTAAAGGATTTGGAACTGTTTGCAGTTGACTGGGAAAAGCAGAGAATAAATGAGCATTTCTTCCTCTATTACTTCTTGCCCTTTCTTCTTTAGACCAGGAATCTGCTCAGGATCAGAGTGTATTTTAATTTGAGGAGAAGCTAATCGTAGTAAGTTGGTAAAGCAGCCTGTCTGTGGGTTCTCCTTCCCTTGGACTAAAGGTACTTAGGTCTGAAATTTGAAAGGAAAGGAAATACTCTAAATAAATATTGGTATCCCCCATTTAATGTCAACATTGTAAAGCATAGCTATTTTCACAGAAACTATGACATTTTGTGTATGCTATTCTCATATCTAGAACAGACTTCCTCTAAAACATAGAGATAATTTATACCTGTTGAAATCCTCTCCTTCTTTGTAGGCTCAACTCAGAGGCTGTTGTTCAGTCATTTTCAGATATTTCTAGCTCCTTGTGACCCCATTTGGGGTTTTCTTGGCAAAGATACTGGCGTGGTTTACCATTCCCTTCTCCAGTTCATTTTTTTTGGTTTGTTTTTGGTGAGGCAATTGGGGTTAAGTGATTTGCCCACGGTCACACAGCTAGTAAGTGTCAAGTGTCTGAGGCCAGATTTGAACTCAAGTCCTCCTGACCCCAGGGCCAGTGCTCTTTCCACTTCACCACCTAGCTGCCCTCAGCTCATTTTACAGATGAGGAAACTGAGGTAAATGGGGTTAAGTGACTTGTCCAGGGTCACACACCTAGGAAGTATCTGAGGCGAAATTTGAACTCAGGAAGATGAATTTCCTGACTCCAAGTCCAGCACTCTCTCCACTGCACCACCTAGCTGCCCCCAATTCAGAAGCTACTTGCTTTGATAAAGCTTTCTTTAATCCTCCACCCTGACCTCCACCAATCTTCATTTCTCTCTGTTTGATCTCACCTATGCATTTATGTCATTTTGTCTTTTCTTGTATTCATTTGTATACATTCCTTCTCTTGTCTCATTCCCTTCAACAATAATGGTAAGAGCAAATTGAAAATATTACTATGAAAATGTGTGCTGTATAAAGTTTTCTGGAGTATGCCTTATTCCCCACTAACCTCTACTCCCTATCCTTCAATCATTTAAGACTTCCCATCTAAGGTTTCCTTACTTCTACTCTATATATATTTTATATGACCCTGTTTATCTACAGGTTACAGCCCCAATTAGAATGTAAGACACTTGAGGGCAAAGACTCTTTTTGCCTTTCTCAATGATTAGCATAATGTTAGGAACACAGCAATCACTTAATAAATGTTTGTTGATTGACTCATTGATTTCAACCAGTTTTCAAATTACTTTGTTCTTTCATCCATTTATTAGTTCAGAAATATTTGTTATGTGCCTCCACCATGCTAAAGCACTATCAGGGATACAAACATAAATATGATATAATCCTTGCCCTTAAGAAGCTTAAAATCTAACAAGCATACTGATATATATATATATATATATATATATATATATATATATATATATATAGACACATACACACATATTTGGGCACACATACACACTTTCAAGTATAGTCAATTTTGCTATGATGCATGTTTCAAAAACACAAATTTGTTCCAATGAGATTAATATATTAAGAAACATTTTGAGTATAACTTGAATTTTGAGTTTGCTTCTAAGAGATTTCTTCCTTGAGAAACAACAAGAGAACTCAGAAAACTTCGCCACTTCATAATAATTCACAAACTACAGCCCTTCTGAAGCCCGCTTCCACAAGCAAATTTCAGGTCTTTATCCAGTTAAAGTGACACATTTATTATATAGCTTCTGATGCAGTAGGAGCTATGGGCAGAAAGGCTGTGTCGAATTACCCCCACCCCCTCCAGCCATGGACTCCAGTCCCAAGGCCTGTTGTTAGTGAACCCCTGGCTGCAAGCTTAGCAGCAGCTGGCGGCCACAGATGCAGCCACTATTTATTGTAGGGTTTGTCTATTAACTGTTTGACACGTATAAAACTGTGCTACTGGTTTTTTTATTAGCTGTGCCACTGATTAAGTTTTTGAGTGTTGTGCCACGTTTTCCCCACAAGTTTTGTGGTTTTTGTTGCACAATTTTCCATAGTGTGGTGTTTTTTTGAGAACCCATATGTCACATTATAGCAGAACTAACTATACCCAATCTCCATTTTAAAGCAGTTCACTCTAAATGTACATTTTTCTAAATGCAAGGAATTGTTGAGAAAGGGAGAAATATTAACTAGATCTAGATTCCATTTAACCTTATCTAACTGGGTAGATCACTAGTTAAAAGGAATCATAATTTCAGAAGGGATTGCTGGGAGCTAGCAGAGGCCAGATACAGATATTTAAATATAATTCTGCCCCTCCCAGTCCATTTTGTTTTATTGTATTTTTAAAAGTTCCATTGGTGCCTTTTGTTTTTATTTCAGTCATTTTCAGAAATAAATTTAAATATGTATACATATATAAATATATATATATGTTCGCATATATGTGGTTGTACATACTATATGTAACTATATGTGTATGTTATGTGCATGTATATTTACTATGTGCCAGGCCCTGTACTAAGCACTGGGGATACAAAAAAAAAGCAAAAGCTAATCTCAGTCTCCTTTAGAGCAGGGACTGGCTCTCTCCAGTGCTTAGTACAGGGCCTGGCACACAGTAGGCATTTAATAAATGCTAGTGGACTGGGCAACTAGGAAGCACAGTGAATAGAGCACTGGGCTTAGAATCAAAAGACTCACCTCTCTGAGTTCAAATCTGACCTCAGACACTTACTAGCTGTGTGACCCTGAGCAAATCACTTAACTCTGTTTGCCTTAATTCTTCATCTATAAAATTCACTGGAGAAGGTAACGGCAAACCACTCTGGTACCCTTGCCAAGAAACTCTAAA